ATAAAATGACGTGTAGATGTCGAACACTCTATTTATCCGAACGAGTGAAATATCAAAATAACAGAATCATGAAAATAATTCAGCTGAGATCCCAATGCCTTTCACTGAAGGTCTTTCTAGCAAGAGAATAGCAAAATATCACATTTGGCGTTTTAGGAATTTCCCAGGAGTGGTGCTAAAATGAGGGACGTAGCTTCGCCTTAACATACCTTTTCAATGAATGCTCAAATGGCCGTAACTTCCTCACAAAAGTTGTTCCTTATGTCCTAAACTTCGCAAACACTATATATATACAAATGGTACGCACCTATAAACAGTTCATAATTGCTCTTAAATCGGCAGATTTGCCAAATGGTCTCAACTTGATGAAATGTTCGTAGAATTTCATAAAAACAATCATAAAAGAGTCCCGAGATGATTACCTTAGTTAACCAAGTATAAACCTTAAAGAAACACCAATAACTACAAATTTATATCTTCAAAAACTTGCTCCTAATGCAGCTAATAGAAGGGGAAAACGATTACCATGTGTAAAGATCACGTTTCTAGGCACGGGGGTAATCTTTAATGGTAGAAATCATTGAAAACTAACTTTCATCATGCAAGTACTCCATAGGAACCTTCTCTTAAGCTTTCTTTCTGGTTTGGAAGTAAAATGAAATGTTTTCCTGGCTTAAAACGTTGAGTAAGCCGACATACCACATTTTTTACCCGACCCGGATTCTGCCCTGGCAGTACGTAGTAAAACCCTCATAACTTTTTACTCCGATGTCGGTTGGATACGGTGTTTTTTGCGTTGCAAACTAGACTTGTAGGTATTTGATATAATGGGTGATAGGCCTTCTAGATCTTTGTATATTGGGAGAAATCATCCAAGACATTTGACCCAAAGTTAAGAAAATATTATTAGAGAAACTTCGATAACTTTTGCTGACTTTAGTTGCACTAATTTTCATGACTTCTAAACTTAACATACGACCCTTGTGCTATTATAATACCTCATAACACACTATTCTTAGCATATGTTACACTCATAGGCTTATCCACAAGGTATGGGACAAGTTAAACCTTTCAAACGGGCGAAGTTCTACCCGAGCCATTTCTTTTATCATGAACTTTGTTTGAGGGGTCCCTTTGACCTAAAACTTTAGTTTAGTTCCTTGATATTTCCACTTACATGCAATATTAATCTCCAATGTACGATACAAAGTCATATACACCTCATATAACCATGGCATACTACACCACATATATTATGCACGATTAGAGAAAAAGTACAGGATCTTACATTCTCCCTCCCTATGAACATTTGCCCGCGAATGGATCTAAACAATTCCTTGGTTGTATTTTCTTTTTTTCTCACAATACTTTATTTGCGAGTGTATATTTGTTACAGTCGCAAACTTGAAGTCAAATTTTGAAAATTTTAACTACTAAGCTTTGCATAGCTATCTCGTACAAAGACATATAAATTTCACCTTCAAGCTACTTAAAATATAACTATGTCGTTGTGAATTAATAATTGCCAATAATCGAAATATGACTCACCTTAAGTCATAAACAGTTGGGGGTACTCCTTCCTCATTTCCTTTTCCGCTTCCCAAGTCATTTCATCGACGTTGTTATTTCTCCATAACACTTTCATAAAAGCTACATCTTTATTTCGAAGCTTTCTTACTTGCCGATCTAAAATCGCTATTGGTACCTCTGCATAAGATAAATCCTCAGCGATACAAATATTTCCAATGCACTTCCACAACATAGAAACATGAAATACAGGATGAACTGCTTCCAATTCTGAAGGCAAATCAAGCTCGTATGCCACCATACCGATCTTCCAAATAATCTTATACGGTGCAATGTACCTAGGACTAAGCTTCCCTTTCTTTCTGAATCGCATAATGCCCTTCATAGGCGATACTTTCAGGAAAACCCAATCTTCTACCTCAAACTCTAAGTTCCATCGGCGAACATCTACATAAGACTTATGTCGACACTGTGCTATATGTAGCCGATCTCTAATAAGCTTAACCTTTTCAATCACTTGTTGGACTAGATTGGGACCTAGCAAATCTGCTTCCCCGAGCTCAAACCAACCAATTGGAGACCTACATTTCTGCCCGTATAGTGCTTCGTAAGGGGCCATCTGAATATTAGCTTGAAAGTTGTTATTTTAAGCGAACTCGATAAGAGGTAAATATTGATCCCAACTTCCTTTAAAATCCAACACAGAAGCACGTAACATAACCTCAACCGTCTGAATAGTACGTTCTGCCTGCCAATCAGTTTGTGGATGAAAAGCGGTGCTAAGATTTACCTGAGTGCCTAGACCTTTCTGAAACGATCTCCAAAAATGTGTTGTAAATTGAGCTCCTTGATCTGAGATAATAGATAATGGAACTCCGTGAAGGCGAACAATCTCCTGAATGTAAAACCTAGCATAATCTTCAGCTGAATATGTCGTCCTAACTGGCAAGAAATGAGTAGATTTTGTCAGCCTATCGATAATTACCCAAATGGAATCAAACCTTCGTGGAGTGTGAGACAAACCAGTGACCAAGGCCATATTTACCATATCCCATTTCCATAACGAAAGCTCAATATATTGGGTTAGGCCTCCAGGCCTCTGATGCTCTGCTTTAACTTGTTGGCAGTTGGGGCATTCAGCTACCATCTTCCAATATCTTTTTTCAAGCCATTCCACCAATAGATCTGTCGAAGGTCCTGATACCTCTTCGTCGCTCCAGGGTGAGATGCATATCTAGAATAATAGGCCTCTCAAAGAATATTTGTAAGGAGCTTCCCAACTATCGGTACACATAAGCAACCCTGGTATCGAAGGACTCCATCTCCAGTTAGCTCAAATAAGGGGTGTCTGCTGTGGAATCTTTTCCCTCAATTTCCTAAGCTCAGGATCTTCATGTTGCCGCCTTGTCACTTCAGTCACAAAGGAAGATTCTGCCATGTTCTTAACGACAACACCTCCACTTCCTGCATCTACGAAGTGTACTTGCAAATTAACTAGCTGACATATGTCTTTTGTAATTCCAGCCTTATCAGCTTCAACATGACTTAGACTACCCATGGACTTCCGACTGAGCGCATCAGCAACAACATTAGCTTTGCTGGGATGATATAAAATGTCAACATCGTAGTCCTTTAATAATTCTAGCCATGTCCTTTGTCGTAGGTTCAACTCCCTTTGCTTAAGTAAATACTGAAGGCTCTGGTGATTGATGAACACATCTATATGAACCCCGTATAGATAATGTCGCCAAATTTTTAGGGCAAAGACAACGGCATCTAACTCAAGATCGTGTGTAGGATAATTCTGCTCATGCTTCTACAACTATCTAGAGGCATATGCAATAACCTTACCATGCTGCATAAGAACACAACCTAGGACAATTCTTGAGGCATCATAATAAACAACATAGCCCTCATTACCATCTGGAAGAGTTAGGACAGGTGCAGTGGTAAGCCTTTTTCTTAGTTCATGAAAGTTCTGCTCGCATGCCTCGGTCCACTTAAACTTTATTGCCTTATGTGTCAATTTTTTTAGTGGTGCAGAAATAGAAGAGAATCCCTCCACAAACCTTCGGTAATACCCCGCCAAGCCTAAAAAGTTGTGAACCTCCATCACATTCAAGGGCCTCAGCCAAGTCATCACTACTTCAGTCTTTTTTCCTTCAACCTTAATACCCTCACTTGTAATAACATGACCAAGAAAAGCTACTGAGGTAAGCCAAAAGTCACATTTAGAGAATTTAGCATACAACCTGCAATCTTGGAGAGTCTGCAATACAGCTCGCAAGTGGTTTGCATACTCTGCTTCTGACCATGAATATATAAGAATATCATTAATAAACACAATCATAAATTCATCCAAGAATGGTTTAAAGACTCGATTCATAAGATCTATTAAAGCTGCTGGGGCATTTGTAAGCCTATAAGACATGACAAGGAACTTAAAATGGCCATACCTCTTCCTAAATGTTGTTTTTGGGATATCAACTTCCCTGACTCGCAACTGATGGTAACCAGACCGCAAGTCAATCTTGGAAAAACATTTGGCACCTTGTAACTGATCGAATAAGTCATCAATTTGTGGAAGAGGATATTTATTCTTTATAGTGACTTTATTTAGTTGTCTATAGTCAATACACATCCATAAGGATCCATCTTTCTTTCGATCAAAGAGCACTGGGGCACCCCATGGGGAAGTACTTGGCCTGATAAAGCCTTTATTGAGCAAGTCCTTCAGTTGGTCCTTCAATTCTCTTAGTTCTGCAGGTTCCATTCTATAGGGAGGAATCGAATCTATGGAAAGCTACCAACCAATCCATATCCATGATAACATCAAAATCTAGCATAATCAACTCAACTAAATCAGCGGAGGTTGGACAATCATTAATTAATACCGTACAACCCCGATAGACACGAATAGCTAAAACAGAATCGCCAACCGGTGTAGACACCTCAACTGGTTGTCGCAACAACTCAGAGTTCATGTCATTCTTACTACCAATAAATGAAGTGATATATGAAAATGTAGAGCCAAGGTCTATCAATGCGTAAACAGCTTGAGAAGATATAGTCAATATACCTGTAACAACATCAGGGGATGCCTCTGAATCTTGTCATCCTGTGAGTACATAAAAGCGATTCTGACCACCACTTGAACCTATATCTTCTTCACCTTTCCCTCTACCACAACCCTGAGTAGACTGTGGTCCTGGTTGTGGGGCACGGACTGAGGGTGAAGATGTTGTTGTAGATCTTGAAGGCTGAGCTACATCACCTCTGCTCAACCTCGGGCACCGACTAATAAAATGTCCTATCTGCCCACAATGATAACATGCACCTGAACCCTGTCTACACTGCCCAGTGTGCAGCTTACCGCACTGTGTACAATGAGGAGTGGGATGTCTTACCTATACAGAATGATCCTGTCGATGACCTTCAGGCTGGCCTGAGCTCTGACCTGGTCCTGACTGACTATAATGAATCAAACCGCGGTCCCTGCACCTGTGGTGAGACACTACCCACTGGCCGAGGTGGATATTGATGGAAATGGGGCCTAAAATCACCATGTGGCTCCCTATAAGAACCCATAGTACGGGCCCTCTTAATCTGCTCCCTATCCTTGCGGGTATCACGAATCCGTTTAGAAAGGTCCTCTGTAGTCTGAGAGAAAGCCTGTATGCGGGAAATGTCTACATCATCTGATAGGGTTACTACCCTACAATCTCTGATCAAATGATCTGCCAAACCATCAACATAACGATGAACTCTGGCTGTCATAGTACATACAATATTTGGAGCATATCTTGCCAACAAATTAAACCTGTGGCTATAATCCCTCATACTCATGGTTCCTTGCTTCAGATTGATAAATTGGTCAAGACTGGCCTCTCGAACTTCCCGTGGCAAATAGTGGGCAAGGAAGGCCTCAGAGAAGTCCTCCCACTCTGTTGGCGGAGCATCAGGTCCTCTAGATCTCTCTCATGACTCATACCAAAGGATGGCTACATCACGTAGCCGAAAAGAAGCTAACTCCACAGCCTCTGTGACAGAGGCATGCATCACCCTCAATACTCTATATATGTGGTCTATAAAGTCCTAGGGATCCTCAGTAAGATTAGATCTTGTAAATAACAGAGGGGCCAAATGAAGAAACTCTCGTACCTTCGAACTTTCCCACCGGTTTCTTTGAATATCTACTCTTGACTCTAGTTGTCACTCATGAATAAAAACCATCCTAGTCAGCAACTGAACTGCCTCTCTCATCCCCTACTCCCCAGAGATCTCTGGTGGAGAAATAATAGGTACTGAAGGTCCTGTGTCCGTAGCTTCCTCAAGTACCAATGGAACTGGTGAGGCTGGGGGTACTGTATCTCCTCGGGCTTCAATAGGTACCAGGGAGGCTGGTACTAGGGGTACTAGAGATCCACCATGTGCCTCCGAGGGAATCTATATCTTTGACCCGGAGAGGAACGACTAGTACCTTCCCTTGGATCCATACTTATCTCTTGATCTGCCATATCCGAAGCGAGTGTAGCCTGTTAGATAAGAAACATAAAGCACGACTTAGATTTCTAATGTTCTTATACTTTTGCACTATAGCACAATCTATTAGTTTAATGAAATGTAACCATTCCTAAATGCCCTGTAGCTTCTTGATTATAAGTGTGGTGCACAACACACCCATAAACAAGACTCTACTAGACACGGCTTGTGGACTCCCTGAGATACGACCTGCTCTGATACCAAGTGTGTCACTCCCCGAAATAGGGGGTGTAACTGGCACTCGATACCCTAATACATCGAGTTACTCACTGAAACATACTAGCTAAACCAAACTTGTGAGTAAAAAAGATTGGGCAGCACAACCTCTAAAAAGTGAAGCTTGGACCCAGAGGTCACGACCTGAAAGAGAATAATCATACAAACAATGGTAGACAAACCGAAAAAAAATAAAGATGTACCATCTAGCTGACGAGGCCACAACCGAAAACATACCTACTTACACACACACCTATATATACATGCCAAGACTATTGGTTAGAGGTTGAAACATTAAAAAAAAAAACTCAGAATATTGTGTCCACAATAGCCTCTATGAGTGACATAAGCACTGTCGGGGCAAGGCCTCGACTATCTCAAACTGTACAGCAAAATTAAACATCCTCTATAGCCCTAGGATAAGATGGAGCTTACCAACTCATAGCTGAACCTGAATCCTAGCGCGTGGGTCGATTAGAGTCCCTGCCTGTACCTGCTCGCACAAAACAAAAGCAGCGTCCCCAGGCAAAGGGACGTCAGTACGAATAAAAATGTACTGGTATGTAAAGAGAAAAGTAAAATCATAAACATTTACTGTAAAAGGGTAATAGAGATACCACCTGAAACTGAAACCCAAATAATCTCCATGTCTGACCTTTAGCCCCTTACTACTATGGTATACTCGTATAATCGTATGTCGTGAATATATATATAGATGCAAATGCATGACATACCCAACCAAATGCTAGCAATGGAGGTTCTTTCCGGTAGCGAACCGACATCATATTCGCCAACTTGTGGCCATCTGTGTCTCATACGTATAAATATAGGCAATAGGCCCCATACCTCCCGATTATAGCT